ACCGCAGCAAAGAACCGTACCGATCTTATGTTATATTAACACATTGCGTACCGGTAACGAGAAATCTCGTTTTTATATAAAGACACTTAGCTATAACTTCGCTAATTACCGCAGCATTGAAAAAAATATAAAATTTGATTCGAATTGATTGTCTGTTTAAAATATATTACGTAACAATATATATATCTGAGTTTTTCTATGTATAACGATATAAGTTTATCTCACTGAAAATTGCCATCACAATTCAGTTTCCTGAAAACTAGCCGGTACGCGATGTGTTAATTTCATCTTAGTCTCTATTTTAAAATGTATCAGTTTACACGTGCCATGAAAGAACATAAACTGCTAAGGAACCAATGCTGCGCTTTTATCAATCGGAGATAACGAAATCTAGTACAAACGAAGACTCTCGAGCGCGAAGGGATCGACGAACTTCGGAGATACTTGTATACTTGGTAGAATTTTCGAAATAATGTTTTTCAAATTGCGTTTAACCACTTGCGCTGGAAATGAATTCAGAAATTTGGCGAAGTCACCTGCGATGAATTTTGTTTTTACCTATTTTATACCGATATATACACTAATTTTGTTTGTTAATCGTTCTGTATAGAGAGATTTTCAGCGCAAGTGGTTAAGCGTAGTTAGGCATTCTCGCTCGTTAAAATATTTGAAATATAATACTGTAAAATGGCAAAAAGAAAGTTACTGAAAGTACCGTGAAATTCAAACTACCGACGACGAGTTTTATTTTGATTCTTCGAACACTGACTTTGATATAGAAAGTGATAACGTTAGCAGTGATTCCGATAGCGATATAGTTCCACTGAAGCGACGAGTGAGGCGATTAGAAATTCGTGAACGTGCAAAGAGTAAATATTGTTCTGTATTCCAAATTAATTATTTTTTCGACAAAATTCCAAAAACAATCTTCCCGGCAACTTTGGAACTCCACTGTATACTACACCTGATCTTCAATTTACGCAAACCTTTTTCACGCGAGCCTCTTTCCTACGCAATAAATTGCACCACTATTTGCGCGGTAGTTTTCACGCGCAATCTCAATTTACTCGATCTGATTGTAGTAACAGCGAATAAGCAGTACTTTTGTTTTCTAAAATGTCGCTTTATTATTACTTCTTTTGTTAAGTTATGTGAACTAGGTGTTTCTAAAACCTCTAGCAGCTTTTCTCTCCAATATTTTCTATCTCTAAATCGAGGGTCAGATGTACATATCAAACTTTACTTGAATATTTGTATCGTCCAGAAGATTTCTCTGCATACTTAGCGACATAGAAACGGTGCCCGTCGTTTCGTAAACCGTTCGCTGCCGAGATATGGGACGCGAGCCCCCGATGGGTCCACGCGGCGCGAAGCGTGTTAAAAACCGATGGAACGAACGAACTGGGTCAGCTTCTCATTATTTTGAGCGGAGCGGAGCATGTTCCGCGCGCGTACGAGCGGCGTTGCGGCCGGAACCACCCCTTCATAGAAAATGTTTTCGTTCGAACCCGGCCTGGAACACGTAAAGCGACGCCGGGGCACTCGCGTCCTCCGTCAAAGTGCATACAACGTGTCGTTATGGAAACACGATGCATCACACAACTGATTCTTCCTTTTCAATTGCACCTTCGCCGCGTAGTACGGTCGAACGGCCGTTTTCTGGACAGCACTCGATAACATCGAAAATACGAGCGATACAAAGAAATGCTTCAGGGAAAATTTATAACGTATAGAGTAGTTATATTTTAACCCTTTCAACTCTGTAGCTAAGGGTTAACCCTTTGCACTCGAGAGGTGACTCTGTCACCACTCGATTTTATTTGCAAAATTATAAAGTCTTATATATAATATTAAGCTTTGTATGATGCATCAATATATGGAATATTGAAATAAAATAAGTTTCCTCCTTAATTTATATATGTTTCCTCGTTAATTAGTTTCAAAGAACATCGTCTGTATCTCATCGAAGAATATTGAATATTTCTAGCGAAAAACATTCGAGTGCAAAGGGTTGATAAAGCATATGGTGGTTATTTCTTTACATTTCTTTACATTTACTTCTTTATTTTTCTTCACATCATGGAGATGTTACGAAGTTTCTTCGATAAAAATGGATACTTTCCGCTTCGATTCCAATGTTATATAAACAGAAACGGAATTGATTTGCATAAGATGTTGATTTTTCCAATGAAAATCATTCTATATAGCAGGGACTGCCTAGCACATTGGTAACCTTCAATTTTCGTTATCTAAATAATCGAATTTCGGCTCTTTGGTATTTGATACTTGCGATTGCCATCGTTCGTGCATCGACCATCGTTGTCTATGGCCTGTTCTTAACCGTTTCAGTCCCACGGGTTTTTGCAAAAAAAATTAACTAAATTATTAAATAAAATTATTAAATTGAAACTTCCTCCGTTTCAATTTAGACACTGAATGACTTTTCTATTTTCATAAAAATATAATTTAACCCTAATCGGACCACGATGCGATTTTGCGTCACATTTGAACTTTTTAATTACAGTTTTTGATTATTTCATATTGCATTTTTGAAAGTTTTTCTGGGTTTTTAAATTTTGGGCCCTATAAAGAAAAACGTTCGTTATAAAAACACGTGGTACAAATGGAACGAGTCAATTTTACTAATATTGAATTTTATAAACATTATTTGGTAAATGTTTGAGTCGATTTTGATTGATTCAATTACGTATGGTTCGAATGGTTCAATCACGTGATTATGGTTCCTAATACTCTATTTCTAAACATTTGATTTCCTAGATCTAAACGGACGAATATAAATCTTTCTAGGTACAATAAATAAACTAAAAGAAATGTCCGTAAATCTAGTGTTAATACTGTCGGACAGAAACAGGAAATGAAAGGAAACGCATTTTAATTCGACACGGTAAGCCTGGAACGAAGTCACGTTCACGTGACAGCGGCCGTCAAAGCGTGCGCCATCTTTGTTTTCTCTGTCGGCCGGCTTTCGCTGGAAAGCAACTTTTCTTAACCGTGTCTTGCATGCAATAGAATATAAAATTCCTTCGTCAAAAGAAAGCATTATCCTAATTTTCACTTTTCGAGATTGTCGTTCTCCTCACGCTGCATTAGTTTCTTTTTTCAGATTGGCCACAGTGTACATCTCTTTTCCTATAACTGTCACAGAAGAAATATCGGAAACGAGAAACCGTTAAAATTTTACCAACGAGCACGAAGTCAACGCGCCACACTGTGTAGCATACGAGTTCTCGTTCGATCGCTAACAAACGCGGCACGCATTCAATTTCCTAAAACACTGACAGAAATGATTTTACGCGTGAATCGATTATTTCTTCGATCGCTCGAATTTCTCGGGAGCCAATGTAAAAAACGTCAGAATCAATGTTCCTTATTTCGTTGAATTTATTAAATAAATAATCGAGCGATAACCCACATTAGAATTCGATCGTAATTGGTCCAATTAGCGAGACCTGTGTCGTTGCGGCCACATAAAAAATGGAGAAGATTTTTCATTGGTAAATCTGTACGTTACGCTGCAGCTTTTATCAAGCACAAGGAGACGCAGTGGCAGGTGTATGTGGGGAGGGGGAGGGGGAAGGAGAAAATTTCCAAGAAGGGAAAGTCGCGCGCCCCATTACAACACAAATATAAAAGAAACAAGTGGATTGTCCCCCCAAAAGTATACACGTATAGACACCGCTGCACCAGAAGAAGTATGTAACTAACTGGATTAAAAAAAGGTAGACGAAAAAGCAACAAAACAATTTCCAACGTTCGTCGAATGTGACCGAGCAGACATTGGCCGAGCACAACCGCCATGAAAAATTTCAAAAAACCAAATGGAAAGGAATCGATGAAAAAATAAATGAGAACGTTGCGTAACGAGTGCCGATGAAATTAATAAAAGAAAAGATCGCGATACTTCTCTCTGGAAATGTGTATTGTCAATTCCATATGTTCTGAAAAGTATCACGCATAATTTGACCTGTCAAAATCTCTAGGCCGATGATCAACCATGTGTTCGCTAATGAATAAGATACACGAACATACGGCGACGATGTTAAGCCGAGAAATTGTTCAATGTTAAGTTTGTACCGTATATTATGAATAATGAACAATCGCTGTCGATAATTAGGCGATAATTATGGAGAATAAGTATGCACGCTTTCTAAGAGGGGCAGGTAGCGTTTAACACCGCTATAACGTCGAGATCAATGACTAAACAATGTATAAATATAGGCAGCGAAGTAAACAGATTAACAATAGAATAAATAACCATAGAGAACGAATAAATTACGCTTATCGTAACAAGTTACCACTTTCTACTAATTAATATTGTAGGAACCGTGTATTTATTCAGTTTAAACATCCCGGAAATATTTCATAGAAATAACATACACAACATTATAATCGTGAATCTTAAAGCTTACTCTCAGGACGCAGTCCTTTATTTTGACATGTAACACATTATCATGCAAATATGCTAAGTTCTTAAGGAACAAATCCAACGGTGGCGACTAAAAATATAAAATTAATTATACTTCATCGCACGTAATAACATGGCATGAACGTTATATAAAGAAAACGGGAAACAATAAAAGTTGGGAGTAACGTGAACCCAACACCGAAGTAAGAAACAATCCTTAACAGGAGACAGAAAAAGAGGAGAAAAAGAATTTAAGATGACTTACGTTTACGATGCTGCGTCTAGGATTCCCCTGCGAAAGAGATCCCACGAGATCCCGGGACCGACGAGATTAACGCACCTCACACCACGTCACTGTTTATCACCATTATAACAACAGAGAAACTGAATTCTAATCATTTTACTGGCGTCATTCTAATTAATAAACCCTTTAAAATACAAGCAACCGAAGGACCGTCGTTACCGTGTGCTGTTTGCCGCGCATCTACCAGATACCTGTCGCGGTAGTTCTCCCACCAATGGCGGCAACTGTGCCCTGATAGGATCATTACTAGCTAATCAGAGGTTAGTTTCCCGAGAGCAGCCGAATCAGAGGGTCGAACGTTTTCGCGCCTTTAAACGAACGTGCAACTTGGTATATATATCCAGAAACTGAAATATAGTGAGCTGTTTATAGTGAAAACTCGGTACAACAGGTAAGAATAATGGAATAACAAAAAGTACCATGTTATATTCGCACTCGAACATTCGCAGTTGTTTGCATTGTTCATTTCCAATTGCAATATATAAAATATAGATATTCTTTCTTTTGTTTCCCGCTTTCTTATCTTGTGGTATATAAGAGATAATTGTAAAGAACCTGTTTTATCGTAGAATGATTTTCATTCAATTCTAACAATAAATATTTAAGTATTAAATTCGCTATTTTTCCAAATTTTCTATTGATAAAGCGGACATTTTTTATTTGTTGCTTTGTTTAAGGTACATTCATGTATAACCTCCTTTCCCTCCTGCGAAATATTATAATGCTTACACTTCATTATTTATTTTAAAAGGAAATTTTGCATGAGTATCAGTTATGAATCTGTATAATTCATTCATAAAATGTTATTTTTGTTGGAAGATCTATGAGCTACTTGTCAGATACTTGGAACTGGTATTCAATCAGCATTTTTATTAAAAATATTATTTATTGCTCTTCAATAAAAAGAATTCTTTTCTTTATTATTACTAGTAGAACATTTTATTTTAAAATTGCTTTACACTTTTTGTACATACAATGTAATTCATGATGATGATTGTGAATGAAATATGGGATAATTGAAACTCAAAGCTATGGATACACTTACACAACATTTTACAAAATCTTATAGTGAAATAAAAATTGTTTAAACTTCTTGTCGAACCCTTTGAACAATACTTTGACATACCCTGCTGTTAAATTGCTCTGCCGAAGTATTAAAACAAAGTATTAAATAAATACTTTTTTATGTATAAATAACTATATCTCTATTAAAAAAAATAATAATAATGAATACAGCTATGTCTTTCTAGTAGTCCATTATTCGAGCACTGAGGGAAGTAACACATGTAATGTTTCATTTAAGCAAATGTAACTTTGAAATATTAACACATCACTGCTTCTCAATTACACCTGAATGAGAACAATAGTAGAGTATAATATAAATATGTAATGAGTCCATTCCAAACTGATACATATTATATCAACTTCATTACCCATGTATTTTTCACTTTTGTTTTTATGTTATATATAATGATTATTTTTTATATACAATAAGTGAATTATAAATGATTTATACAATGTATTACATACCCAATGTACTAAAATATAAGGTTTAATAAGCTTTTCCTTGAAGCACGATTGTACATGATTGCATGATTGATTCCAACTTTCACAAATTAATCCATAACTTTCCGCATTTGCGTAAACAATTGCAGTCTAATAGAAATTTAGAAAAAAGTAATGCAGGTATTAATTTTACTATCTATATTATTCTAGTACTGTTTCATTTATCTTTTCTTAGTTGAAACTTAATTTGATTAATTTTATATATACATATATCATTCAAAACATACCAACTCATATTGTGCCGAGGTTTATGTTTACTTGGAATATTTTACTACTACATCAGAAACGTTCTTATGAAAATGAAGTCAGTTGTCAGTTGCATATCACTGGAACTCATTGAAAAGGCTCATTAAATGGATTAATCGGAGACATAACCATATTGCCTGTTGTACATATCTATATGTATATAAAATTTTGTAATATAATTACGTATGATTCCAACAATTAAATTTAATAGAATTGTTTATCTAAAAATGAAAAAATTTTGAATTATTCATATGTTTAAATTTACAACATATTAAACAATTAAATTAGTAAACTTCAATAAAAATAAAATGGCAATATTCAGAATTGTCCTAAAGTTACTAGTATCTGCAATTATATGTTACAGCGGTAAAAATGAACAATTTACATGTTCATATTTTGCACAATGAATTATCCTGATATCAAGCGATATTAATATAGTATTTTCTGACTGAATAAAAATCTCATTTAAGCTATGATGCTTTTAAATATCTAACTGTGACATTGAGAAAATGGAAGGCTTCCCTTCAAATCTTCTCTATCAAATGTAATGTCACATTTATCCATGACACTGTCCTCGCAATGGATCGATACGTTATTATCCGGCAAAGATTTAAAACGTTTGGACGGTTGATCAGCGTCCTTTTCCACATTGTTCTCTTCTTGAATCAGTGACTTTTTGGTAAATGTTTTATTAAATGGCTTCACAATTAAGGAATCCTTTCGGAACGTTACTTCTTTTAGATCATAGATGAAATCCTTCTTCAACGGTTTTATCTTATTACGAATCGGTCGCTGTGGCCTTGGATTGTCCGTGAGACATATAATATCACTTTCTTTCGAATCAGAACCTCTGGACGATATTTCAATTTCATCTTTATTTGCTAATTTGATTTCTTCCTCTTCGACCTGTTTCACAGAATTTGTTTCAGAAGATCCAAAGATAACTTCCATCACCATTCTTCTGAGTTCAGGATCTAATTCAACGGTATTTTGTCCTTTAATACCATTACTTAAAGGCTCTTGAGTGTCTTTATTAACGTGAACTACTTCTTGAAACGTATCTGAATTTATATCTATTATTTCTGTTACTATTTCAGGTTTTCTTTCTGCTTCTGCTTCATTTTTTAATTCCGCTCCTGCTTCATTTCCTATTTCTATTCCAGCTTCATTTCCTATTTCTGTTTCTGCTTCACCTTTTATTTCTATTTCTGTTTCGATTCTTATTTTCGCTTTCGCTTCGTTCTCTATTTCTATCTCTGCTTTACTTGCTATTTGTGTTTCTGTTTGGTCTATAGACGTTTCTTCCGCGACGACTTCTGGTTGTATCTCCTCTGGAGAAATGCTAATTTCCACGACTTCCGGAGCATTACATTTTTCTACGTTAGTTGTATTTAATACAACATCCTGTTCTGGTGTACAATGATCGTCCGAAATTTGAATTATCATATCTTCTATAATAGCACGATTATTCTGAGCACTGTGCATTTTATTACAGTGTGCTACACAGTCACACTTAATGAAACATTTAAAGTCACAAAGCTTACACCTATAACGATTCCAACCTACATGAATGGCAGCATGTCTTCTTAAATTAATCACCGAGGTGAATTTTCGTTTGCACGAAAGGCACTGTAATTTTTGAAGGTTCACTATCGAAGCTATCTTCTTTTCCATTATTAATGCACGATCTACTTTCTCAATATTGTTGCCTGCAGAGACAAATTTTTCGTATCATTATTCATTTCATTGCATAGGGAATAAAAAATATATTATTTTTATAAATAGAAGAATAAAAAGATTAATCTAGAGCATAACTTTACATTTTACCTATAGTTGTAAAAATATTGTAATTCTTACCTACAGTATTTGTTATTCTTTTTGCACTGTCCCTGTTTTTTCTCTTTTTGCTTCCTACGTTATTTTTATGTTTGTTCATACTTGTATAGATAATTTCTAATGAATCAGAGGTAGTACTCGAAGGAAGAGGATTATGTTTCCCAGTACCTTCCTGTACTCCATTTGTCAAAGTTGTTACATTTGCATTGAGTTCACGTTGTGGAATTAGTTCCCCATTCTCTAACATATCCCAATCTGCTTTACTTAAAGTAGCTACAGCTTCTACCCGGATAGATGTTTCATTACTATTGCTAATTTCCGATGAAGAAGATGTGACTACAGTTTCATTTGAAACTCGATCCGGTGAAACTTTATTTGTCTTCTTCATTTTATTTGTACTTTCATAGGCTGCAACGCGCCTATGGCAGTACTGTGAATGTGAAGATAAAGCTGCTTTCCTATCAAATCGTTTTCCACAACCTCCACATCTTTGTAATTCTGTATCAGATTCGAGATGATCCATCCACTCCTATTAAAATACCAGATGTTATATTATCAATATTTTTGTTAGATGTTAAAAATTATAACAAGTGAAATACCTGTGTTTCATTAACTCGTAACACGGTATTCGTTAATAATTTATTGGCTTGCTCTTTTTGTAAATCTTCTGCACCAGTTGTATCCTTGATGAATGCTTTTTCTTGTATTTGAGATCTGAACTTTCGTACTTGTTCATTAGTTTTTCTATGAACTGCAATTTACATAGGTATTAATACTACTTGTTGAAATACTATTTACAATAAATGCAATTTATATTTCTTTAAATTCAAACTGCAACTTATATTACAATTTATTATGATAAGTCAAGGAATTGAAGGAGTTAATTCTACAAGTTCAAAATGTTGATCAATGCTAATGCTATCAATATTATTTTATCAATATTGTGATAAATTATATAATTACAAAGTATAAATACCTTTAAACAGATGCCGATAAACACTCCACGAATTTGCAAATGTACTAGTGCAACATGGGCAAGGATAACATAATCTATGAGATGTGTGTAATGTTCTTGTATGAACTGCTAATGTCTTTTTTGTTGAAAATTTTGCATTACCTAAAAATTGAAAAATGTTATAGTTAATATCAAATTAATATTAATATTAAAATTGGTGAAAGGTTATTAAAAGTAATAATGACGTACATATAGAACAAGTAAGCTCAGTTTCATAGGTGCCTGTAGTTTCTTCATTATTATTCTTACTGTCATTCAAAGTGTATTTAGATGGCAAAATTTGTCCATCTGGACCTAACACTGCAGTTCGTTCATTAATCATGTCTTTTATTTCTGTTAACTAAATGCAATGAAATGTTTATAATAGAATAACCTAATTAGACATAACTTTCTTAATTTCATATTAATTGTTGATGGTTGTACCTGTGTCTTCATTAGGTCTATGTGATTTTGCGTTGAAACCACTGGTTCAACGGTCTGATAAACTACAGATGAATTCGATTGCACACTTTCCAAGCATAAACGTTCAATATTGGAGTGCAAACTTTCTTTTTGCTTTTTTTGTAACATATTTACCACGGTTGTAAGATCCTTCTTTTCCTCTTCCTTAGAAACTTGACTTCTCAAAATTCTATCATTTCCGCAAGCTTCTGGTACTGGCATATTTGATTTATTTATGCAAATCTGTAACACATTTTGTAAATTAAACTATGCTTAACTTTAACTGAACTTAAAATTAACATTTGCACACATTTCAATGTTTTTTTCTTCCTTATTAAATTTATAAAAATATTTCTAGTTATATATTATGCTTTTCTATGGCTTTATATTTAAAAACATTCTTATTGATATTCAATTATTACACAGAATTAATGCTTTAAAATATGTACATGTACACGTAGCATAAATATATATTTTAATTTTCATAAAAATATAAGTAAGAATAAACAATATTGTTAATAATTCTTCATATAAGAACATTTCCACTTTTAATAAAACATCTGTAATACTAATATGTACATAAATGTATTAATTTTGTAACTATTTTATATGATTGAATGTTTTAACCGTACATGAAAATACATAAAGTAGAACGTACAGTATCACGATTGTTGGAAGAACTTTTACCACTTGTGACATCAAATTTCTCTTTACAGTAAATCCTTTTGTGAGAAATGAGATTAACCAGACTTCTAAAGAGGCTCCTGCATATACGACACTCGTATACCAAGTCACATTCATATGCCAAAATAGATTTAACTTCATCGCTACCATTTGCTAAAACTTTGCTTAAACAATATAGAGATGACACACTTGTGTCTATTTGCCGATACAATTGCGACAAATCTGGATTGATAGAAGTCACTTCTTTAGATTGAAATTTAACTTTCCCAAATTTACCATTTGGTTTTTTGGTCTTTGCTTTTGCTTTCATTGATTTCATTTTCTATAAGTATTGTGTATCCAATTTACTTTTTTGTCAAAACTGAAAAAGATAATTTAAGTTGTAATATTATGTAAGTTTCGAAATACCAAAATATGAACTAAAGATAAGAATTATAAGGTAATAATTAATACAATAGAATATAAGATAGATACAGTTCAAGAGAGAAACAACTACACGAACGTAGGGTCGCGTAAATGAAGATAATATCGAAGGAAAAAAATATTTCTTAAAAAAACATGAATCAAAAAATGATAATTTATTTTTCAGAATCTATTAAAAGCTTGAAGATTTTCAAGAAAGTTGTATATTTGGAATTAAAACGAGAAAAGCGTACGGTTGAGATGTACCGTCTCTCCTGCATTTTACTGCGTAAAAATCAGTTTTCACTTTCAAAATGATGAAGTTATATGGAAAACAGAGAATCAAGAATCAAGTAGGTGTGTTGGAAATTGATTTTCTCACGAAAAAATCACACAAATTAATTCTTATAGAGCTGCACGAATTCACGATCTCGATCGAGCTACAACCTCCATTTTTCCGAAAGCTAGAAGTTCTTGGCTCCGCCGTTTCAACGAAACGGTATCATGGGCAGCACATTCATTTTGTGGATAAATATTTTTGATTATTATTCATTTTCCCTTACACGCTGAGCATTGCTCGATACTAAATAAAACGTGTAATTCAATTACAAAAGTTAAATGATCAAATTATTAGAGAAATAAACTGTAAGTTCAGCATCTTTTAAAAATATAATGTACAAGGTTATGTTATTTAAACTTCAGAAATAAATTTTAAAGTCTGAATATGCACTTATTTATCATTACATAAGATTATTAGAATAAGCATAATAATTCTAATTGAGAAAATACTGTACCACATACATTTGACATGATTTAACGTATAAAATCTAAATTTATAATCAATGATAGCAACAGAAACTTATATTAGATAGTTCAGTAAGTAAAATAGTGAATTCTTGTTTCAGTTAATGTTACTGCTGAAATTATCCCGTATTTCTTAAATGTGAATGAACTATTAAAATAAATTGCAATTATAATTTCATGTTTTTATCATCATAGTTATAAAAAGTATAACATTGTTAACTATGATAAGAGTTTTTTAAATACGCATCAGATATTCATATCTAACAATAGTGTGTAACATGAAAATATTTGTAAAAATAAAAAGAATTTGTTTTAAGTATCATATCATGAACCATTTGTAATTTAAGAAAAACACTAAATTATTAATCATCTCTGAAATGTTTGATAAAATTATAAAAGTATTTCATCATATAGGCTATTAATGAGGTATATAAAAATTAGTTGTATTTATTATGTTACTTGTGAAACAGCAAAGTACTTAAAGTTACTTTTTTCGTAATATATAAATCATCTAAATCTATATTATTTTTTCCTTTATATAAAGCATCACAATATAAAAATATAACGTTAAAGAATTTTCATCCTCATTTGCTGATTTTTAAAGATTGAAATAGAAAGATGAAAGCATTATCTACCAGTTGCCAAAAATAACATTCAAATAAACTTAAATTATAATCATTTGAACGCTGATTTTCAAATATATTCATTTTTCTGTGAATAATTTTATTGTATTTTTCTGTAACATAATATGAAAACAAAAATTATGTAATAGTATATACCTTCAAGGAACTATAGAACTACTAAATACTTTGGCACATTTCTAGCTCCTGAACAAAAGGTCTGAGAAAATCACAGATCTTAACAGTTTATGGCAAACAGGTTTGGTTATTAAACTTTAAACTTTATGTAATTACTTGCCCATAGAAGTGTTGAAATAAACAGCAGCCTCAGAAGATTTTATTATGTAAAAATTTAATTGTGTCTTTTATTGCTATAATGATTAATTCATATTATATTTCATAATGATTTTTCTGTCAGTTATTCTTTATCCTTTTAGTATGAAAAAGGAAACTTATATTTTTAATAACACACATATCCAAGACTTAATTTAATTACTTTACTTCATAACAGAAAAATTCATAGTAATTGATATTCGTTTAACTATGTAAATTATCTGACATACATTCTATTTTAAATGTTATTTAGTAAATTAACGATAAATTCCAATGTAGTATATCCAAATTTATAAGAAGAAGTGAAAGTAGATTTGTATTAAGTTTCGTACAGGTTACGAAATATTTTCTAAAGAGAAATAGTTTTTAACAAAACACTGTTTTTATTAGAATCGTTCAAATTTGCATTACTGATTGTCAGTGTGCATGCAATCTTTTACATTATTTACATTTCAATGCGATAACCGAATTTAGTTTGTGCATTTATTTTAAAGTAACATATCGCCGTTGTTTAAAGAATTAATCTTATTATGAAAATTATTCGTTTTACAAATAACATTCATTACATAGTAATAAATCAAAAATATTAAGAACTTATATATGTAGTGATATACGAGCTGTTATTAAAAGTATGCTTTTGCGCATGCGCCATAATCTCGTGTTACTTTTCGTGAAATAGTGAGAAAGAAATTGTCATATTTTTATGCTTTATTAAGGAAACGCAATTACACATGAATGAATTATAATTGATGAAGATAACTTTTGTGAACAACGATAAGAGTTTAAGGAAGAAAAATGGTGCTTAACGATTGTCCGGATCCAGAAATAATTGGTTGTGGATTCAGTGCTTTTAAGGAAATTGATGAAGTGACTTCTCTTATTGCGGAATTAAAGAAAGCAGATCTATCATCAAGTCTTATTGAGAAAAATCGTGATCGATTTAATTTTATTTTATCGCAATATCAGGATCAGAGACAATTATTAGATCCATACTTAGATGACATTCTGCAACCATTGATTGAAATTGTTAAAAATAAAGATTCAACGGAGAATATGCAACATAATGCATTTAAATATATTTTCATCATTATGTCTGTCAAAACATATAAAAAGATCGTTACTTATCTGCCACACGAGGTACATAAGAATCTAGCTTTTATTTGTTCGCTCTGTTTCGATTGTTATTATATAATTATATTTCAATGTAGGTATCAGATCTTCTTCCTGTTCTACGAATGCTAGAAAAGCAAGATCCAAATGATGTAGAAACATGGGAAACTCGATATGTACTTTTAATATGGCTTTCCATAATCTCGAAAATACCATTCCCACTGTCACGTCTAGAAACCTCTGAAGTAGATTTTGAACAATTGATAACGGTCAGAATCTTGAAAATATGCAAATTATTTTGCTTATCCAAAGATGCTTGTGCAGTAGCTGCTGTTTTTTTAATTGCTAATTTTTTAACCAGATCTGATGTTAAAAAATTATATTTAAAAGAGATGATTATGTGGAGCTTAGAATGCGTGGAAAATGATCCTTTCAGACATGGTCCTTTAGCTGTTATAGCTTCTATATTGAAACACAGTGCAAGAGAAGACGTTAAGCCATTCACTCAAATAGTTTTAGACAAAGTTTTACAATTTCGCCTGAATGATAATCCTGCAGATCTTATTAGAAAATTTGGTATAAAAATTGTACAAAGAATTGGATTAGTATTATTAGGAACAAAACTTGCATCGTGGAGATATCATAGAACTAGTCGATCTATATGTCTACAACTTAACGCTAAAACTATTAATTCCATGGAAAACTTAGAAGAGACTAAAGAAGTTTCAATTAATCATGATGATCAGGATATTCCATCGGCAATAGAAGATATTATAGAACATTTAATACAAGGTCTTAGAGATAAAGCAATTACAATAAGGTGGTCTGCTGCAAAAGGAATTGGTAGAATTACAGCAAGACTACCAATGGATTTAGCAGACGATGTTGTAGGATTTGTATTGAACTTGTTTTGTGGTCGAGAATCAGATTCTGCTTGGCATGGTGGCTGCCTAGCATTAGCAGAATTGGGAAGACGTGGACTTCTGTTGCCTCATCGTTTAAGTGATGTAATACCAGTAGTTCTACAAGCTCTAGTATTTGATGAGCCAAGAGCATATGGATCAATTGGATATTTAATTAGAGATGCTGCATGTTATATTTGTTGGTCATTTCCTAGAGCATATGACCCTGATATTTTTCAGCCATATGTAAAAGAAATTGCAGCTACATTGCTTGTCGTTACTTGTTTTGATAGAGAAATTAATTGTAGAAGAGCAGCATCTGCAGCATTTCAGGAAAATGTTGGAAGGCAAGGAAATTTTCCACATGGAATAGAAATACTCACTACTGCCGATTATTTTGAAGTTGGTGTTAGAAATCATGCATATTTAAAAATTAGTACACAAATTGCTCGATATGAGGAATATACCAAACCACTTATCGACCATTTGGTTGCAAGGAAAATTACGCATTGGGATACAGCGATTAGAGAGCTTTCTGCCAAAGCACTTTTCAATCTAACATCTGCTGCTCCAAGTTATATTAAGGATACAATTATACCAAGTTTATTAGATATGTTAAACTCTATTGATTTAAACATAAGACATGGTGCAGTATTAGCAATTGCAGAGATTTTGGAAGCATTGCATAATTGTTATAATGAAAAAGTTGAAAATATTATTGAAGCAACTGCTATGGAAAATATAGGGAACATAGTAAGTACATTTCGTAAAAGAGGACAGTTCAAAGGTCTAGGAGGTGAATTGATGAAACAAGCTTGTGCAGTGCTCATAAAAAAGTGTTCAATTGTACATTTTCCAATCTCCATGACAATAATTTGTAAGTAAACCTTGTGTTCGCATACGCCGCTTATCTAACTAAAAAATTTTTATATGTTCCTGAATTAGAAGTTTGTAATTACTTTTGTATTTTCTACAAGTCAAAGTATTTTTGTTGCATTAGTGTCATGATTTTATTGAATCAATCATTTATATGCACAAATTGAGAAATACTTATTGGTCATATAATGTATTCTTAAAAAAAATCAATTAAAGTAATAGAATTAACTTTGCAGATGATTGGCAGAATCTTTTAGAGGAATGTTTAGGCCATGAAGTGTCCGTGGTAAGAACAAAGGCAGCTGAAGCACATACAGAATTTTTTTTTAAATACTATGCTACTATACAAAAAGAAGAACGGGATGCAGTTATTAATCGGTATCTTGATAACCTACAATCGAGCAATCAGCTTGTTCGAATAGGCTTTGCGCAAGCTATAGGTAATTTATAGAACTTTTTACATACTAAAATATACATTTCAAATCTCACTTTTATTTTTAATAATATAATATTTGATTATATTCAATAATGATGTATTTTTTTATAGGATATTTTCCTTTATTTATAATTTGTGAGAGAGTAAAAGATGTGATACCTGCTTTAATTAAGTGTACAGAAATATCAGAGCTCACATTGAAATGGGCAGAAAGTAGAAAAGAAGCTATTCATGCATTAATAATGGTGTGTCAGACCTTAGGAATAAAAGAAGCAGGTATGTGTTTGTTAGGAAAATTTTTTTTAAATAATATACACTTTCTGCTTTCTGCGATTAATGCTCAAGCTATTCAAGGAATAGTAAAAAATATATAATTTCTTTACACATTTCAGATAAGTGGGAAATATTTGTGCATGATTTGTATAATTGTTATTTATTGGCACTGAAAGAATACACAATAGACAGTCGTGGTGATATAGGAGCATGGGTACGAGAAGCAGCAATGATGGGTTTACATGTAAAAATAATTTCTTTATAATTCCATCACTGTTATTACGTTATTCGAATTAATAAGTTTTACATAATTTTAGATGTTAACGAATTTAGTATTTCAAGCAAAATTATTATCTGTACTGAATGAAGAATTAATGGCAAAAGTAATTGGAGGTGTAGCACAGCAAGCTGTAGAAAGGATTGATGGAATTCGAGCACAGGCGGGAACTGTCTTTAGTGCTCTTATTCATAGTGACCCCCCTTTACCGAACATTCCATATCATACAGAATTAAAAAGCATCTTTCCATATGATGAATGTAAAGACAGCATAGAATGGCGAATGGAATCTGTAACTTTTCCAAGATTCATTAAAATGTTATCTTATCCTCCTTATACAATGAATCTCCTACAAGGAATTATATTTAGCGTTGGAGGCTTGAGTGAATCTTTGGTAATTACAGTTGATAAGCATACAGATGATTGAATTGTTTTAAGACACAGAATATCTTAAAAGAATACAAACACTTAATATCCCCTTTGTTTTTAATAATATATTTTCCCATATTATTAAAAAGAAAAGGGGAACTTGAATAGTTTGAGTTCTGGTGGAACATTCTGTATAATTTTGATCATTTAAATGTCTGTTTTAGGTGAAGCATTCTAGTGTTTCTTTATTTTCTTATTTACAAGAAATAGACGAAGTAGGCCTTAAAAATTTATGTTATAAGATATTAACTATCTTTGAAGAAAGTCACAAAAACGAAAGAATGATTACATCAATTTTGGCTTTTCTGGATCGTTTACTTAGTTCTGGTTGTATTCAAATTGTCCTTGATGACGTTGAAAATGGCATTTCAGAACGAATCTTAATGTTACTAAAACAGGAAGTAAAAAATTGTAATAACACTAAGTTATTAATTAGTAGCATAAATGTATTTTGCCAGCTCTTGCAGGTATGTTTGAATTGTTATAATTATTGAAAAATATTAATAATTCTATTATAAAAGCAATAATATTTTATAGGTGCGTGGACCAGTTGTGAAAAGAGCATTTTGTCAATTAAGTATTTTCCTTTGTCATAAATACAAATGCATACGAAAAGTGGCAGCAACGAGAACGTATGAAGCTTTAACTTTGTATGGAGAGGAAATGGATCTTACTGAACAAAATTTGATGCAAATCTTGACTGAGTTAAATGTTACTGACTGGGAAAAATCAGTATCTGAACTTCGACCTATAAGGAATCATCTTTGTGAATTAATGGAAGTACCTACTCCCATTTTGCAAAACAAGATTGCTAATTAAATATTGTTTTGTATTCTGTTTCACTTTAAGAGCATAGGTAAGTGAAATCGTAAAATCATCGTAAGACCATTTGATTAAAATTACTATTTTATTAGGTAATAATAGTATAAAAAAATATTTTCACTTTATAATACTTATAATGTTGAATACTCGTCAAATTAGACTATACAAATATACAATATAAAATACTTACTAAACACATTATCTTATTCTATTCCTATTTCCATAAATTTTTTTGAATGCTACCATCTAGAAAAATTGTTATTTTTTAACACTGCTTTTTGGTATATAATTCTATCTTCATTTTATTAAAATTTGCTTCATTAATTGTAAGATTATTTTTCAAGTGATGTGCCAGAACTTTGGCTCCACATTTTTCTATAATCCATTGCATTGTCCACCAATCATCATGATTAATTTTATTCGTTATAGGGTGTCTTGGTAATGGACAATCGTAATGTTTTAAATCAACAAATTTTCTTTCTTGCTTGTTTATTTTGTGTATATCTTCACAAACAAAACATTCGAATTCATTTACATAATCCCCATATTCTTTTAGAGACCGTTCATTACTCCAGTCTAAAACATTTTTCAATCTTTGGTTTTCAATTTCATAATTGTCAACTAGTTTATGTGTCAAATATTTATTATATTCAGTTTCATTGTTAGACAAGTCATATAAAAAACTAGCTAAACTCTTTGGATCTTTAAAGTCAAGTACTGAAATAGCAGACATATTATTGGGAAGCCAATCCTGAAAAAAGTTTAAGAAATTCGTAAAATCTGTTAGAAATTTCATTTCTTTTTCTTTTAATAGGTACTAAAATTAAGACAGCATTTATATCAAAATAATTATTTATTTTTCTTATAATATTATTTAAAAAAAATATCTTTCCAATGAAGTGGATTTAAAATATAATGAATATAGAAATGTATTTTATTAAAATAAATAATGTCTTAAGAACTAGATCTAATAAAAGATTAAAGTTATCATTGAAATGAAATAATTTATTAAATATTCCTTTAAATAAAAATTATTGTTGAAATTACAATACCTTGAATGATGGTGATCCGTAATATATAGGTACAGATCCAACTATAAGAGGCCTCCATAACTTTTCCGTGATATAATCTTGACAGACTGCATTCTCAAAAGCTATTGTAAATTTATAATTGGCATTGAAAGAGAGAAAATCCTCACTGTTTAATATTTCGAGGTAATTTTCTCTCAGCCTATATTATAATTACATTATTTAGAAAATTAATGTAATGAATAAAATCAATTTTTCTAAATGTATAGATATAATTCACCTTCTATCAAACTGAGCATTATTCAAACATGTGCCATATGAGTCGACACGTATGTACTTCATCAACTCTGCTACATAAATATCTCTATTACTTGCAGTATCACAGTCAGATTGTATATAAAGCAAAGGTGCAAGATCCTTTGTATTCATTAATCTTGTCTTTTGTTTAGTTGGTATAAAATATTTTTTATCTGAAAAAGAGTAAATCAAAATATTAATTTACAGAAATAAATTGAGAAATATTGTAAAAATAAAAATGTTTCATCCTACAAACACTGTTCACTAATTTATAATTTTAATAACATCACTGCATGTAATAGCCATGAAAAAAATACATAAAAGAAAAGAAAAGAGCATTGTTAGTAATTTTAAATTTGAAAATCTGTTATACTTGCCTAATAATTCTGTAATTCCAGGTAGATTGACCAAAGTAAGAGGCACATCGCTAAATCTACTGAACGTTGAAGAATATCTAAAAAGATTTAGGGTTTCCTCCTGCACGAGAATAGGATTATTTCTTGGAGATTCTTCATGAATTAAACCCCACGAAGCTTTCCATTCTGGTAAATCATTGATTTTAAAATTGCTACCATAAAAAAGGAAACTCTGAAAATGAAAATAGAAATATTTCTCAATTATATAATATTACTGATTTGTAATTATATTTAAAATTACAAATTGGTTTTTATATGAAAATTGCCAACAGATAATATAAATTATTTAATATGAAACAAATTTTGATTATTACACTTATTTTTGGATGATATTGAAAAGTTCGATTTTTTGTAAAGTAACATGTATAATTTTTACATGTACGAAGTTTCCCATCATTTCCAAAAGGAGTCCACCATAAAATTATAGGTACATCTTCTGTTAAACAAAATATTGATAAAATAATTAATATTTTTTTTACTTTATGCATTTATTTTATCTGAATATTTACTACGATATAAAAAATTTATTGCTATTTATATACCTGCAATGTGTAGTTCATGACTGAATTGATTTACTTGTATCTGTAAATTATTTTGATTATTTTTATTCATCGAAAATGACCTAACTGTTTAATTTTATATAAATGCATTTATATATATATATACATATATAGTGATCATAACAAGTTCAGAAAGAAGAAAATTGAATGTTTATTTTGTATTATCAACAATTTTACAATTAC